TAAAACTCAAACATTTCCTAATGATTGGAAATTGGCCAAAATATGTCCGGTTTTAAAGTCTGGTGACAATAGCCTTATCGAAAATTACAGGCCTGTTGCTGTACTTTCAGTTTTTTCTAAGGTTTTTGAAACAGTCATTTATAATAGAATATTTCCGTCAATAAAATCTATGATTACTCCCTATCAGCATGGTTTTTTCCCTGGGCGTTCAACTCTAACAAATCTTGTATACTTCACACAATTCGTAGCGGAACACCTTGATAAGAAGCAGCAGGTTGATTGTATATACTTGGACTTGTCTAAGGCGTTTGATACCATTAACCATTCCATTGCTGTCAGGCGGTTAGGAAATTTTGGTTTTAGTGATGCGCTCATCCAATTCTTTGATTCGTATCTTTCCGACCGGAAGCAAACAGTTGTTTATAATGGATTCAAATCTTCCTATTTTTCTCAAACGTCGGGTGTACCTCAAGGCTCAACTCTAGGACCATTAATATTTCTAATATACATCAACGATCTGCACTCAGTGATACGCAATAGGGTCTTGTTTTATGCAGATGATATAAAGATTTTCAATGTAGTCAATGCCTTCGAAGATGCGCTATCATTGCAGGTGGATGGCGATGCTATATATGGGTGGTGCACTGACAATGATTTTGTGGTGAACATGAAGAAGACTGCAGTTTTAACATTTAAGCACACCAACAAATCAGTCCACTTCGACTACTGCTTAAAAGGTGTGAACTTGCAACGTACAACTGAAATGCGGGATCTAGGTGTAACATTTGACAGTATCTTATCTTTCCACCCACATATAAATAATCTAGTAGCGTCTTCTCTTAAACTTTTAGGTTTTATTGTCAGAACATGTAGGTGCTTGAGTAATCCTGTAGCCCTAAGGACTTTATATATAGCACTTGTACGTTCCAAGTTAGAGTACTGCTCCTTAATATGGTCTCCCTATTATGCTTATCAAAAATTAAATCTTGAAAACGTTCAGCGAAAATTGGCAAAACATTTATTTTATCTTAGCACAGGTACCTTTCCCTCTAGAGGTTTTGATCATAAGGAGCTTTTAAATTCGTGTTCACTAGATACCCTAGAATGTCGATATAAAATGTCTGCAATAAAATTTTTATATAAGGTCCTCCATAACGATATAGATGCCATTTACATAATTGGCTGCCTATGTATCAATGTACCCCGTTTACATAGTCGCTATCACTGTACATTTAATTGTCCCAGAGCTCGTTCAAATGTTCTTTTTAATGCTCCAATATATAAATTGTCGCAGACTGCTAACAGCCTTGGCGAAGAAGTTGACATTTATGTGTCGCCGCTTAAGCAAATAATGCAAAATGTGCGTAATGTTTTTGCATAGTTAGTTTCATAATAGTTAGACTAATTAAGTTAGTTTTTTTTTTTTAGTTTAGTTTAATTTAATTTAATTTAATTCAATTTAGACCTCAGAATTAACTGTAATTTGCCCTGTAACTGGATGTAAGTCTGTTGGGCAATAAACCATTATTATTATTATTATAATTAAATTACGAACACTTTAGAATTCCACAAGAAGAGCGATATAAAATATATCGCTACTGCTGTACAAAAACATGACCAATCTGAATAAATGAAAATTACTTGGAAAACGAAGTGAAACTATAGAAAATTCTCTTAAATTCGGCGTTTATTCGATATGATAATTTTCTTGGCTACACAAAAACATACATTTCGGGGACAAGATGAATCGCAAATTTCTCTTAAAGTAAATTCGATGATAATTTAAAAAGTTTTTGGAGGAGTCTTTGGTAATTAGTGGTCTTTATAAAACCAATCAGAACGATTATTTTGGAATTATTTTTATTTTATTTGTTATTGTTAACTTTGTTAGTATTTTGAGAATTTATTTTTTGTTTCATTTGGCATTTTTAATTTTGCTTTTATAATAATTTTCCAAATTGCTGCTTTTTCTAAGTGTAGCTTATCTCAAAGGTTTAAAATTTAACGTTTTCTCGTCATGTTATTTCAAAATCTTTACATGTTGGGATAACTATTTAAGTTTATAGTTCTATAAACTCCTAACAAATCCATTTATGAGCTGAACCTTTTTTTTGCTCCTCTTTCCTCTTCTACCAAGAGTCTTCGACGTTCTCGTTGGTTCTTGCTGAACGGCATTGTTAGTAATATTTTTAAAATAATATATATGTAATATACATAAAATATTTGTTATATTATATTGACTGACATGCAGCACCAAAACAAAAACACATTCTCACAAAGATGATTAATTATATATATGTATATATATTTTTTTCATACATGTTATAACCTAAATACCTATAATGCTTTGCCCGCCCATCAAAAATCACCACGAGCCGCCACTGATAAAATCCATCCTTCCATCTCTGAATAGGCAAACGTAAAATATTCTTCATCGCCCAGCATAACCACACGATTGTCCAAAAATGATGAATTCTCAATAGCCGGCAACATCTGAGAATTCTCTCTAACAGCGATGCTGTATGTTTTGAACATTTAGCTCTTTTACTGTCTCTCAAATTGTCGCTCTGTTTCTGTTATTTTGTTAAATTAAATTTAATTCTGTGTTCTTTTTTTGCTAATTTATATATCATGTGTCAATAGTGAATAGTTCTTTAATGAAATAACGATCACTAGTTAAATTAATAATTTTTAAAGTTTGGTTTGGGAAATTTTTTTGGGTGGCCGGTTTTTTTTCCGGTCAGTGTATATGCATTAAAATAAAGTTATAAAAGGTAACAAACAAATATTTTTCATAATTAACAATGCATATTAAGATCATTAGGTGATGCCGCAGTTGTTGTAGGAATTAGCTCGGTTTGTGCGAAGGTGGAGATAACACGACGACCGTAGCAACGAATCTTAACCAATTAAAAACTCAAGTAAATTTGCTGCTGCTGCTTTTATATGCTTTCTTATGAAATTATTTTTGTTTTATGCCTACTATTCCGCAAACGCTTTCGAGCACGCCACTGGAACAACCAGTTTCTCGGAGGACCTGGAAGAACCATTTATGACCCTAGTAGAAAGCGCGGTACCAGGCATTTTTTCAAACTATCTTCCCTCCTCTCAGTCTACCTCTATGGTGCGCATCTACTTTAGAAATATGTACTGTCTCTTTATATGTGTCTCAAATTTTTCTGCTACTTGTACTTTAAATGAATGTGAACTATGAATCATTTTTATAAGTTGCTTCAAGGTGACTAAAATTTAACATGATAATTTTTTGTGTAAAGAACTCAGCAAGTGGTAACTTTCAACTCAATTGAAGTATTTTTAAGCTCCATTATGAAAGATTGCTTTGGGGTACTTGTTAAGAGCAGCTTAAAAAAGGCTGTTTTTTTGCATTATCACTTCTCGTATAGGTAAAAACTAAACACTAAGTTTCGATTTGGTAATATGTTTAAGGCCCAGTCTACAAGGTTGTTTTGGGGGTAATTTTTTGGAGCGTTTCTTCAAATAGGCTGAAATTTTGTATCGATAATCCCCGTATTGAGAGACTAGCGAATATAAAATTTTGAGTTGATTGGAGTATTTTTAAGCCCCAGTCTGCAAAGTTGTTTTGGGGGTAGTTTTTAACGATTTCTCTGCACGGGTTGAAATTTTGTATCAACAATCTTCGTATTGAGAAATTAAGAAATATCGAGTTTTGACTTGATTGGAGCATTTTTAACCTCCAGTCTGCAAGGTTGTTTTGGGGGTGATTTTTAAGAATTTCTCCCTACGGCTTGAAATTTTGTATCAACAATCTTCGTATTAATAAATAAGCGACTGTCGAGTTTTGACTTGATTGAAGCATTTTTAACCCCCAGTCTGCAAGATAAACTGTGGTCTGCAAATTAGAAACGCCTGAATTCTTGTTCTGACTTTTTTCACTTCGCAAAGCTAGCCCACGCTGCTGCCTCAAACTGTTTTTTTTACGATGACCAAGGTGTCTGACCATCATAGGTGGGTGGTTGAATCGTTCAAGAGGCCGACGTCGCATAACATGAACCAGTAGTTGCTGCATTTTTTTTTGTCTTTTCAAATTTCTTCATTCGGTCTTGCATTTGTTCTCCATTCGATCTTCTATGCATTCCACCGATTTTTCTAACTCACTCAATCAGCGTGGGGTAAACTCAACCACTTATTTCTTACAAACTCGAATCTACACAATTAACTATTACTGCGATTATGTATAAAATAATTATGGCGCAACTTCTCTTGACTCAACTGGCTGAATAACAATCGTTCACGACGGTGGCTTCTATTTAAACCTACGTATACGTTTCTCTCAATGGATCGAGAACGCTGCTTCGAGGGTTTCCTGGGCCCGTCGCGACATCAGCTTCCATGGGCATCGTATGGGTTTATTTCGTAATAGTACCTAACTTCCTTATACTTAACTCCATCATATTTACTTGAATGGTAACAGATGCTTTGTCACTCTGAACTTCACAGGTTTCGTCAAACTGAGAAACTTCATCACCGATTTTTACAAACTATTATTTTACTATTACTTCTCTTATACTTTCACCAATGTTTGACAACTTAAACGAAACTTGTGCAGCGTGTTTGGTGTACGTGTGAAAATTATATTAATAAAAAAGTAATTTATTTAATATATTAATAACTAAAGGGACGTATGCTTGCCATAAATTTGAAAACATATTTCTAATTTCTTTCCAGCTATAACGATGATTATGAACTATTCTATTCGACGGTAATCGTACGGAGCAATGTAATGTTTGTCATTTAAATATTGTGGCACAAAATTTAAGTTTGCTCCTTCAAACTTTCAATGCTAATTTAATAATTGCGATTGTTCGTTTTTTTTTTCACTTGTGTGTCCACACCACGGTTTCATATCTATCTACTCACAAACACACATCATGTATAGGGGTGCAGGGCTCCATTATATATAATAATTTCATCTTAAGGTTAACTTGTCATTACTTGCGAAGGTTACAAATAAATAAATATTCAAAATTCGATTCGGTTTATTATTACTGTATTGATAACAACTGTTTGGACAAATATATGAACATACGTGTAATGACTCACACCAGAACGATAGTTCATTTGTTCTGAATTTGTTGTTAGAATGAACTTAATCTCCCGCTTCTTTTAATTAAGGTTAGCCAAATACAGTGAGTGATTAAAACAGATAACATGTTTATATATATAAAAAAAAGAGCTTTATCGTTCACAATACAGTTACAAGTTTACGAATGTATTATAAAAATAAATAAAAATAAATAAGGCAAAAATTATTTACAAAAAAATACAAACAAAATGTCACAGATTGTTAAAGAGGCATATAACAGTGGATATCCTCCTTCCACGCAAATTATATAGGTTTTATTTTGGTAGTCAGCGTCTGCTACTTTTGTGTCAAATTTTGCTTTCAAGTGTTACATTTGCAATAAAAATCTCTTCAAATTTAACGAATTTTGTAAAGTATACATATTTGAGTAACAGTCAGTCAATTTGTATTTTAACAAAGAAAACGAAGCTGTTACACGATTTCAAACGCTTCAGTTCCCATGTCGTCTCCGTCGGTACTGCTGTCTATAGAATATTCAAGTTCAGAAGGAGGCATTTTCTTGGGAGATGCTTGTGCATCACGACTGTATCCATCACAGAAAGTAAACATTGGGTATTCAGTACCTGGACTGTCAGATCGTCCTGGTGGTATTACCAACTATGAAGAAATATAAATAGAAAGAGAATAAATTGTGTTTTATATGGAGCTGGGATAATACTTACTGGTTGTACTACTTCAACTAAATAAAAAAAATCTTCTTTTGTAGCACAATAGAATCCTATGCAACAAGATGGATCCATTTTACTTAAATGAATTTTTCTTGGAGATCTACAATGGAAACTATTTAGAGGAAAATCTATCGCCCATACATCTACCACTTCCTGACAATAGTGCGGGTCTAAATGAATCAACTTATCATCTGTAAAAATAATGGCTTAACATGTTTAGCGTCTCGCACCACCGCACTTACCTTGGTACCCTACAAAATACAATGAGTGTTTAGGACGCCCCCCTATAATGCCTATACACTGTTTTAAACTAAACAAAGTGGTAAGACAAGGCGCATAAATCGAATTGAATTTATCAGCCCCTAGTCGAACTGGTATCAACAATATTAACCCCTTCCACTTGCCATTTCTATCAGTGCATTCTTCTAGTACATCTCTAATGTACACTAAAAAAATATTAATTAGTTGAAACCTTCATCTATATTGTTGATAGTAAGACACACCTGCACAGTCTTGTGCAACGCAGACTGTGAGCGAGTCAAATTCGTAGTTATCTTCAGATGCTCTCTTGAAAGCTTGTCTAAAATAACAAAAAAGGTTAATAAATAGTGGATTAAAAATGAAAGCGTACCGAAACAGGTGAGCCACAAATCCTGGTCCATACCAGTCGCCCGCCTTTTTTCCAGACGCTTCACCCAAGCTAACTAATGTATGTATTGAAAACGGACTATTCCTAGACGGCTTATCTCCAAACCATTTAATGATTTTCCTGTGATTTACCACTTCTATGAAACCGTCTCTAGTTTTAGGTTGTTGATCACAATACCACCGCCAGTCTACAAAAATGTTACCATCATGCTAAACAGTTTTCAATTTTAGCATTACCTCTTCCCAAAATGTGACACACTAACGCTTGGGCTATTAACATTTGTCCACTACGTAACATGCAACCCCATCCACAATCACTACTGTAGTTAGAACCATTTAAAATAGGAAATTCGCGGCGATATGTCAACCATAACCGGCTAATAAAATCTTTTTTAAAGCCCTCAAAGCCTTCGTCATCCGCATTAACGATCTGAAAAGGTCATATTATCAATTAATTGATAACTACAACTACTACCAGCTACATTTTATATGTAATATAGACGGGGTAAAATGTAGCGTTGGCTAATTGAAAAAGAAAACTTAGGTACAGAAACCAAACCCAGGTAAGTCAATGTGTTAACAGAAAACGTGAGGTAAGTTAGGGCTTCAATCGACTGCAAACCGATGCCAGTTGAAAGAACATTTTTGTCCCCAAATTTATTACAATACCTTTTACGTTACGTTAGTTTCTACATAGAAAACAACGAACAAATGGTAATCTGTCATTCTTAGCTTTTACAAAAATGTAACTAAACATGGCCAACTAATATTTAATTGCCTACGCTAAATTTTCGTGTAGCTAACTAGAATCTTCTTTGAAGTGTATTTTTTTTTTTTTAATAATTTTCAGTGGAAGATTATTCTATAAAATATGATTCTGTATAACTTAAAATTTATAGATATTTTAAACCAAATTTCACGACATTCTGCGGGTAGCGCTAGTCTCCATTACCGCATTTCATTAGATTTTGGTGAAGGATGATCGCATCAATTGTGTCAGTAGGTACATACGACAAGAATTTTTGAAATTACCTCGCTTTGACTTTGAAAAGCTGCAACGTCCGTTCCCAGTTCAGTACAATCAGATGAAGGACTCTCTATTCTTCTGTAACATTTACCTAGAAGCCATACTGGAGATTCTTTGGAGAAATTTGTCTTGAGTTTCATTCCTGCATTCAAATTTAAAACGTTGATTCAACCATTTTCAATACATTTCATTTTCACTATGTTACCAACCGCAACAATTTTTAGACACACTTAAGCGAAAACTTCTGTTGGAAATATTTCAATAACTGTCAAACCGTTTTGAAAAAAAAAAAAACTTTAAATGTATGACAGAGACGTAAATCATGCTTCTAGAGCTGGTTTTCTTTTGTGGTTTTAGAAATTTTTCTTTAATGTTACGGAAATATTCCCGCCAAAAGCTTTCATGGAACGAAATATATTACAATATTAAGTTATTAAAAATTATTTGATTCAATAATAAACGGCATGCATAATGATTCTTGATAAAATGACACTAATGTTGCAAAAATTAGTATAACAGCTTAAAAATTTGGAACAAAATTCTATCTGAGTTCACGGTAATAGACAAAACTGTTATTAGTTACAAATCCTACAACATATATGTATATTTATGCAATATTCGTACTGACTTTGGAGTACTGAATCTTTCAATTGGCAGTTGATCTCTATTGTTCATTTAAATTCATAACGTTTTTAATTTTTAAATGTCTTAAATGACATTGTTCACTTTTCATAATTAATACTGCAGTTGAATTAGTTCAATCACGAGTGCTAGACACTTATAAACTGGTAAATATTGGTCGCAAATTAAAATTGTGTTGTGAAACTGATCCATCCGGAATTAAATTAATGAACGTTAGTTTATAAAATAAATTTTTGTAACAAAATATATTATATTTATATGAAAATTTGTTCATTCATCATTCAGCATTGTCCAAATAATACACAAAACTCGGTAATAATTAATTATGAATGTCTGATGGTACACTAATTTTAGGTTATGAATCTTCTTACCATATTTTACGTTATTCCACATTGACAACAGTCTATTCTTGACTTTCCCTTCGACGTCTGTGGTATTTCCAACATCCTGCAAACGTTGGTCAGAAGAACTTGATGGAAAACTAAGTTTGGGCAAAATAACAGATCGCTCTCTAGATACCACCTGTGTGTTCATTGCACTAATAAGAATCAATAACTTCACACACAAATAATTGTTTCGGTCATTCTGTACTTATAACCACAGATAAAGATCATCCGTAACAATTTACATCATGATAAGCCTTATTTACTTACTCCCAATTCCAATAACCGTTACGATTTATTGTTTACTCAAGATTTTACTGAACAGTACAGCGAGTATTAGAATACGCCATAAAATAAAATATGAGAACCAGAATACCACTGGCTTAGTCAACCATCAACACAAAAAAAATGACGTCTTTGGAAGTTACACGTTACATCCAATGAGATCAGTGCACAAACAAGCGCCAAACTTAAATTAAAGAGAACCAGTGAAACACAACACACACACTAAGAACACTTTATTAAGTACTCAATTGAATTATAATAGCAAATTATAAGGTATACAGTTGCTAAAAAGTATGCCTACAGCTGATTATTTCCAGAACATTTGTTTTGGAAATACAACACCAATTTGACGTTTTTTTAATGGCACGAGGGGTCAAATATTTTTGAAAAAAAGCATTTTTTTTTTCTGCATTCGGTGATGTAACACATGCCTCTCTTTATTTGCACTAAAAAATTGTAAAAAAATTAAAATAATACAATTTGGAAAATGTGAAAAATAGGAAATGTTGTCGTTATCTATCATTAGTTTTTTGCCACCTGTGCGTTGATAAACAAATTAAATATACGTTAATAATAATTGTAAAAATAACACAACGGAAATAAATCAAAACAAAATTTAATATTTTTCTTAATTGTATTATTCTAATATATTTTTTTAAAGGTGGTTACATCACAATGCAGAGAAAAAAAAATGCTTTTTTCAAAAATATTAAATCTGACCCCTGGTGCCATTAAAAACATCAAGTTGGCCAAATGTTGTATACATAATTTCAATGAGTCCTGATAAACCGTTCTGGAAATATTTAGGTGTATTCATACTTTTTAGCAACCCTATAAATGTTTTTACATAGCATTATAATAAATTAGCGTGCCTTGGGTACAGCTGAAAAAGACCGTTTTTCGTACATGATTTTTCTTTCTCGTTTCTTTTCAGGATATTTATGATAAACAGCTTTCATTTCAAAGTGGATGGGCGTAAAAAATTCTGGATGTGTTGACTGCCGTTTCCTCATGTTGTTACCAGTGTAAGCGACGCCTCGCATTTGATATTCCTGAGTTTCTGAGTTCCAGATTAAATTGGAATCAATTTTTTTCTTAAAAAGACGAGAAAGTAAAAATAGTGTAAATACTGCGTTTATCTTTACCAAATATTCCTTTGGAATGTAACTATCAATCATCAAACAAGCAAGTTGTGTTTCCCTAACTAGAAGTCGATTGTTGTCAAGAAGTGCTTCCATTTCTCTTTGGTACTCATGTTCTTTATCAGCATATTCTTCTTTCACTTCATTCAAATAAGACTGAACTTTCTTGATCTTTTTTGTAAGTCCAGCATCTTCTTCTTGCAAGCTGGAATATTTTTCTTCAACGTCGATTCTCTCTTGCCCTTTTTTATTCAAAGTTTCTTCCAATTGTTGGTGGTTCTTGTCCAAAGTTTCAATTTCTACACCTGACGACTCTATTAAAAATGCCTGATGTTGCGCTTTCTCGAAGAGATTTTCGCCACCAACCAAAATTTTTTTCTGAATCATGGATATCTTTTGCATAAGTTCATTCTTCTCTTTCCTAAGAGAGAACAGTAACTATGTACCAAATGCCAAAAAAAAACAATATACTCAGTTTTTTGTAACTCCTCTTCACATTTTCTAATTTCATCAGCTCTAGCTTGCGATGATGACCTTTCTTTCTTCTTTTTAGTAACTGGTTGTTTTTGTTCTTGCACTGACAATAAGTGAATTTTTTCTTGTAATTCTGCGATTTCTTGTTCAAATCCTTCGATAAGGCCGCCATGTTCTACATTAATTCTTGCATGATTTTGAATATGCTTCACTCGTGCGGCATACCTTAAAGTACACATGCTTTCTTCATAATCGATATCTGCCGAGCTCACCATCGCTACCTGCAATGTAACGTGTAAGAAAAACTATATGTTGTGCAGAATACGTTTATAAAACAGACTATATTCAATATACCGGGTGTCTGGAAAATGGCAGATTAACTCTTCAGTACTTTATGGTGTAGATTACGAAAAAAACGTAATTTTATAAAAATAAAATTGGCAACATTGCACGCACCTATAGCGTGAATACCTCCGGCTTACTCTCTGATTTCTTAGTAATGATGGTGACTGAAATCCACCTTTTATTTATTTTTTTAAGACAACAATAACAACCACTAGTCATTAATCGTTGTGCATTATTATTATTAATAAAACAAGCTGTTATTTTTCATTAATAAGTAAACCAAAAAAACATTTATAAATTATAAACAAAAACAACAAAAGAAAAATCCATTAAAGCATAACCAACTAAACACTAGAGAAGGTGTTCAAAATTCCTGCCTTGTGCAGATAAGTAAGCTCGTAATTTTGGCAAATGACATACCCTCTAAGAAAAGAAAGGGCGCGCGGGTGAGGCTAGAACGTGTTAAGACTGTTTTTGGCAAATGACTTATTTTCTAAGACAACATACACTAGAGGCTCCAAAGCACTTTCAAATTCTTTCCAAACAGGAATACCTAGAACATGATTGTTTTAAATTTTTCAAAAAAAAAAAAAAAAAACTGAACACCAAGTCCTCCAAAAATGTTTTCAGATTCGTAAAAAGTAAAACACTAAAAGCTCAAAAGATTTTTCCAAGTCCATCCAGCAACAAAACACCAGATTCCTTTAAATTTATCCGAAAATAAAACACCAGGGGACCTAAAATTAACGAACATTTTAAACGTAGGGTTTGGCATTCACAATTTTTGATACGTCAAACATTTTTAATTGTCTACTCCATTTTGCTATTTGTATAGTTTTGTAAATTTCATTCTACCCTATGAAATTTTATTGACAATAACGAGACGGACAGTGGTACAATGGTAAGAAATGTTTATGGCTCACACCAGTTCACCCGAATCTGGGGATCACCGGCACGCGACAACCTTAAGTTGTAAATATCTCTTCCTATTGTACAACTGTCCGTCTCGTTATTGTCAATAAAACTTTATAGGGTGGAATGATATTTCCAAAACTATACCTTCGCTGTATATCAGGCAAACATTGTTGTCAAATGGAATTTTATCAAATTATTAGAAAAACAACACAACCATATCTTGGTACATTCTAACTGAAATGGTAATTAAACATGGCCATGGGGCAGAGAACTATTAACTAAAAGTTTTATTACTAGTTATTGTGATAATGCATGTGTTGTTTAGTTGTTAAACGTAGCAAAAGAACCAATTTTAAAATCATTATAACTTCACCAAAAAATGAGAAGAATTTTTTTTTACTATTTTTCCTAGACTCACCAGTTGATTGTTAAGAGTGTAGCAGAGAGTTAATCCGCCATTTTCCAGACACCCGATATAACAAAAAATATGCATGCAAAATTCAACTCTTGATTGTAAACTCTAGTAATGGTATAATAATGTAATTTTCTAGATTAACGCGAGTTAGTAAAATTGTACAATAGCAATGGGTCTTTCCGGTGATTTAAAAAAAAATATTTTTAAGAAGCACAAGAATAAATAACTGTATTATCACTATTTATTTTTATTAGTTTCAATTGTGTTGTAAAAAATGCACTCAGCAAAATTAACGCATAATTGGTAAATTTGGCATATATTTTGTTTGAAGCTGAAAAAATGAAGATAGAGGTAAATAAACACATAAATACACTTATTTTTCTTGTTTGGTTGTTAATTGATTTAACACAAATTTTTTTAATTAAAATGTAACCTAGTAAGTAAGATGCAGCTTCTCTAGTATCTGGTATTGCCTATATACATATAGATTTTTTTTCACTAGTAGCCTAGAAATGCACCATTATCATGCTTGGCTATGAGTAGTGAATTCGTTTTTCTCTACCAAAGTCAATAATGATAATTAAATTTACCAAGGTCTATAATAAAGATTGAGGTTATGTAATGTTTAACAAATGAAAAATTTTCAAGCAAGTTTGAAGAGGAACGCAGGAAAAAAATCATTTGACCATGTAATCATCTCATGTGCCTGAACATATGAGCGACCCTATACACATTTGCACATTGAAAAAATGAACGTTCTATCATTATTTAAGTATATTCTAAAAGAATGGTTTGTTGCAATGTGTGAAATTTACGTGAAATCACATTTTCACAAATTAAACATAGGTATGTTTTTGAATTCACAAAATTTTCAATATCAAGTTTTGTATGGGATTTACCATAGCCGTTTTTGAATTTCCCCCTAATGAGTCCTGCAGCAGACGTGTCAACTTAGAATTTCTATATGGAATATGGGTACTTTTGCCATCCACAAGTGCTGAAATCACATTCCCAAGTACTGAAAGTGATAAATTAATGTTGCTGGCTTCTCTTAATCTTTCTCCAGTAGCTTGTGTTCTGCTTGCACGTTCAGATCCCTAAAACAAAACGTTTTATTTATCATTTTATTATGAAATTTAACTCACAGCTAAGTCAACTAGATTCAATTTTCCCACAGTAGTTTTATTACTACTTGTATTCCGGGATTCTATGGTGATTGTAAAGATGGCATGGGATCTGGAACTAACATCATTCATTAAAGTGGACCTGGTGACACGATTTTTGTTTCCTCTGTTAAGTAATTCTGTAATTGACTCTATTGAGTCAACAGTAAATCCCATCAAATCTTTAACATACACGCCCACATCAGGTCTTTCGCGAATGGCCAACTTTTTGTTTGGATCTGTAGATAGCAGATCTCTTACTTCTTCATTATATATTTCTAAATATGTTACAGTGACTACAAATGAATTTTCTCCACTAGCTCTAGATATTTGGCTAAAAATATGTGAGAAAGTGTTTGGAATAATTCCTTTTAAATCTGGTTTTGTGTAGTTTCCAACCATTGTATAGGTCTTTCCCGTACCTGTTTGTCCATAAGCAAAAATTGTGCCATTATAACCTTGGAGAGCTTTTTCCACAATTGGAACTGCGATCACTCGATATAAATTTATCTAAAAAGAAATGTAACGCTCAATAGGGTACATTTATTTAATATGAGATCTAACTTGTGTTGAGTTCTCTGAAAACACTTGGTCAAACTTGAAGGGCTTTGGATTGATTCCATCTTTGTTTAGAGCAATCAAGTTCTCCTTTGAATCAATGAGAAGTATATTTTGGCGACCTTCATCTTCTTCCTTTTTTGTTAAAGGACGCACTCTAATGAAAACACGAACATTTTCTACTTCTGTCTGGATGTCTGATTTTGTGTTCGCCATTTTCCGTTATTAATTTGTGTGCAACAAAAAGTCAACGATTTGGCTAAATATGCAGTTGATATTCCAACAACTCAATTGATTTTCTTCAGTCAGTTATCGAATCATGTCAGAATTAACAAATGTAACACAAAACTCTCATATACATCTCATAACTAAAATATTTGAAACTTGTAAAATGTGCATCACGGACCACAGAATCTTACATTTCTGGGGTGACCTCAGACTCAGACATTCGTCCCCAATTGTACTACATGGAATAATCCAAGAAGGTTTAGGTTTAAACTGTGACGGCACAAAAAATGTAGGACGCAAGTTATGGTTGCCAACAACATACAGATACCAGAGGAGATGACGAACTGACGATGATGAAGACACGACAAGACACTAACTGGAAGGGAATTACGCAGGCGAGGGGCCCAACATATGGTAACAACATTCACATTGCGTTAATAGAAATATGAATATGTGACAGGTGACAGGGGTGACAGCACAGAACACCTAACTTGGTGACAGTAGTGTGACACACGCGCAGTGTTGTCAGATTCCTCCTTCGGAGTGAAAAATGAAAATCGATAGATCATTCGGAGTTTTTCGGTAGATTCCGTAAAAAATATGTTTAAAGATTTAAATTTTCACGCGGTTCATAAAGATTTTTAAAATCAATTAAGTGTTGTAATAAAAACATTATAAAAAATATATTATAAATAATACAAAAATATTAACAATAAGATGTAACCCTCTTAACAAAGGGCTTTAAAGAAATGTAACCAATTTATCGATGAATGAAGTGGGTTTTAACCCGAGCCCAATAAAACTGCGTTAACGAGTTTCAAGACAAATTCTATGACTAACTAAATTACATACTGTTACGAAATAAACCCGTACGTCGCCTCGGTACGACGCTTATGGGTTTTCTAGTATATGTGTCGATGATAATGACTCATCGCTCGGGCGGCGGTTGCCAACGAAAAGCCTGGAAGCGGAAGCGATGAGCAACCCAGAAAAATCTCGAGCGGCGTTCTCGATCCATCGAGAGGAATGGGTAGGTTTAAATAGAGGCCACCGTCGGGAACGAGGATTATTATTTAGCCAGTTGAGCCAAACGAGTTTAGTGAAGTTGCGCCGGAATTATGTTGTACATAATCGCTGTAATAGTTAGGCGTCAAATTCGAGTTTGTAAGAAATAAATTGTTGAGTTTAACCCGCACCAATTTTATTCACCGTTTAACGTAACACTGGTGTCGGAAGTGAGATCTGAAATTAATAATTGGTTTTAGGAAGATCTACGGGCAGATTGAACAAAAATTCGGAAGAATTTATAGCGGTCGAGACGAGAACTCAAACTGCAGCAGTGGCAGAACACGTCATGGCTAAGCTTGCAGAAATGGACCCCAGATGGAAAAAATGGAGGAAAAAATAAACGTGAGAAACAAGAAAATGGGCGTAGAAGCAAAGAGAATGAAATAGAAGAAATTAAAGAACAAATGAAAGTTAGGGGGAAAATTGTTAGACGAAATATGGTTCGAATGGAAGAAAAAGTGAAAGAAGTCGAGAAATCAATGAAGGAACGTATGGAAAATCGAATTAAAACTATAAAAGATCGAATGAAAATGATAGAAGATAGAATAGAAAACCAAATGAAGAAATGTGAAAAGATAATAAAAAATGCAGCAACCATACTGGTTCATGTAACGTGACGTCGGCTTCCAGAACAATTCAACCACCCACCTATGATGGCCAGACACTGTGGTCATCGTATAAGATACAATTTGAAGCAGCAGCGACAGTAAATTCTTGGGAAGAAGAACAAAAAGCTACCGCCTTAGTAATAGCTTTGCGAAGCGGAGCGCTGGAGATATTGCAAACTCTATCCGAAAAAGTTAGAAACAAATACAGTGCCCTAACTGTTGCCGTAGAACGTCAATTTTGGGGATGAACATCTGAGGCAGGTTTTTGCAACCCAAGTGAAAACAAGAACCCAGAAAGTTAGAGAATCCCTTCTACGTTCTACGCTCTTTGTTTGGGGATGGTATTTTGGGTTATATCAAATCCGCCAGCTTCTGAAAATCACGCGAAACAAAATAAATTGGGTATCATTGCGACAGGTGATGATTTGCGGAACACCAAACATCAAAAAGACGTTCTCTTCTACAAATTTGATAACTGAGTTGAAATTTGCCTTGCGCAAAGATGTAATAAAATGAACTTGCTGAACTAATCACAAACCATTAAAATATAACAATGTGTCATACTACGAGGAAGAGGACCTAAAATATCAATTGAAATCAATTGCCATGGGAAAGTAACCTTCTTAGAAGAACCCATCAATCCGGCACCAGCTACATTAGTTGCCTTTTGATCTGAACAATTGAACATCGTGACACATATTGCTTAACGTCAATTTGCATGCCAGGCCAAAAATAAAGTTTTTGTAACCGTTCCAGAGTTTTATATGATCCAAGGTGGGCTGCAAGGGGGAGTCGTGGCATTCACGAAGGACTTTCAGCCGTTGTGATTTGGGTTCTACTATTTTCCAACTTGAAAGGTCATTTGGGACTCGATACCGTGGCCTCGCATGTTTCTATAGGACACCATCCTTAACTAAATAACCCGGATAATCGTTTGGACGTGCCTGAAGACTTTTAAGCATGCTATGGTACCACTTATTCGTGTTTCCCGGCATCACTGAATTACAGCAACTTCTGGTAGTGGCACACGACTTAAGGCATCCGGCACCACTACAAAGTCAAATTGTTGTAGCTTCACTGCCCACCTTGCCAATCTACCACTGGTATTCTTTAAGTTGTTAACCCACAGGAGACTGTGGTGCTCCGTTTCTACCGAGAATTTTGCCCCCTCAATATACGGCCTGAATTTATCTATCCGGAATAGAACTGCCAGACATTCTTTCTCTGTTATCGGTTTTTTCTCCGTCGACGAAAGAGTACGACTAGCGTAAGCTATCACTACCTCAGCTCCTTTGCTATCTGGTTGTGTTAAAACTGCTGACACCTCAACATCCAAAGCATCACTCTGGATGGAAAGGATTTAGAAAAATCTGGGTTTACCAACAAAGGAGCGTTTACCAAGGCATTTTCGAGTTGGTGGAAACACTTATCCGCTTCCAGCATCCACACCAACCTATTTCTTTACCGCTTACCCAGTAGAAGAGCTGTTAAAGAAGAAGTGAAATCTGAAAATTTCGGAATAAAGCGCCTGTACCAGCCGCAGAGCCCAAGAAACCGTGTCATCTCTGTGACTGTTTGAGGTTTAGGAAACTCCGCCATGGCGGCGACTCTTTCTGGATCTGTATGCAAACCTGATTTATTCACAAGGAAGCCAAGGCCCTTTACAGATGGCAGGCAGTACTCACGTTTCTCTGCATTTATGGTTAAGTTGGCTTCTTTCAAGCGTTGGTAAACTTCCCTAAGCACTTGAAGATGTTCAGACGTTGGTATCGAGATAACAATGTCGTCTAAAAAACAAACACATGTGGTTCCAACCAAGGGCCTAAATTTGGTGTTAGGTCATAAATGGGTGACCTAACGGATATTCTGTGTATTCTCGAAAGACCAGCGGTCACAAATGGGTGACCACAATAATGTTAGTCACAATGGATGACCAAAAATGAGGGGTCATGATGAAACTATAAATATAGTTTTCATTGAGACACGAAGCTTTCTGTTTGACGGTTTATTCGAATCAACTACAAAATATTTACATTTATTTACAAGTGGAGGTGGTGGGTGAGAGGGTGGAGTCTGCTACACCTCTTCTTCTTCGGTTTACCTGACTGGACCGAACACTTGGTCTATACGACGTTGCAAAGTCTGAGGAACATTTGATAGACCAAACGGTAACACAACAAATTCATAAAGCCCTCGAGATGGAACTACAGAGACAGTCCTTTCGCAGAACGTATCCTCCAAGGGAATTTGCCAGAAAGCGGACTTAAGATCAATTTTTGATAGATTCCGTGCTCCAGTTAACATGTTTAAGATGTACTGTAACCCTTAGATCACATAATAAATAGATACCACCACGCCGTGTTCTTTCCCTAGGACAGCCTGTGACGACATCCTTCTGTCACACATCTCTCTCGTGCATGGAGGGATTACAATGAAGCTATCCTTGCCTGATCACTATTTGAATTTTGCGCGCCTAAATTTTAGGAAGTATGTCTGAACTAACTTCGGAAGAAAGATGTTGACAGCTTGATTTTATAAATAATTCACAGTAGATAACGAAAGGAATAGTAAATTATTGGGCAGCAATTGTGATCCTTTATGACTACATCACTTAAAATAGGATCTTTGTTCTAAATTCTAAAATTGTTTTTTGTACAACAACTCGAAAGAGAGGTTAGAAGAAATATCTGTCAAAAGCGATTTGTTGCGCTGGTGCGGTACAAGGATGGAAGTGAAATAGACATATACAGATGAAATGCATATAACAAAGATGAAGATGTGGTGATCACACAAGGATAGCATTATACTACTCCGCTTGACGTAGAAAACGACAACAGATAGCTTCATGTCTAGTCACAGCTTTCAGTTTGAGTATTGGTATCTATTTATTATATGATCTAAGCTGTAACCTCATTTGACATACACCTTGTGGTGACCGAGTTTAAATCAAAATTTTCGTGCTAAAATTAATTAACAGCGGCGCGAAATCACACTTGAATGGTTTGAGTTTGAAAGAGGAAAAAAATTCAATCACAAAAAAAGAAATCGTTAAACATAGGCAACCAAATCTGCACGTAGCGCTTAGGTATTAGTTTCGCATGTTTAGTTAGAGGGCGGCTTGGTAGACAGAGGGCAGCATGTTGAAAGCGGGATTCATTATGTTTCGGTACGGTGCAGTGGATGCATGGTGAAAGGACGCTGTAAGTAGCTAGGTTTAAATTAGCTGGTTTGGTAGTTAATAAAGGGAGGAAGCCTTTGTTTAATGACATTCAATCGTAACCGACGTCGCTCAGTTTTCCCCAACCTGCGCGGCTAATTCTTGCGGCCTTTTAATCGAAAAAGTGCGGACTTCCGTTCAACGCGAAACACGTGTTGTAAAAATGTTTTATTGTTTGTAAATTCACCAATCAATTTAGTTTTTCTTCATCGTCAGCTAGTACAAACACAATTTAACAATCAGGATTATTTAAATAAAGCACTTGCTAGAAGATTTCATGAAATTCACTTAGTCAGGACAATACCTTTGTCGTTTAAATGAATAAGTTTCTGGATGCATATGCGGAAGTGTTACATTATAACACTTTATAATTCTTTACACAAGATTGCTAATAGTTCATTTACGGCAGGTAAACTAATTCATAAAATATTTTTTTCCCTTAGGAGGGTATCATCGTTACTATCATCGTTATCATGATCACATCACTGGGGCATGTCCGCGCCACGTTAAAGATTGATTACATCATCGAGGCTTGTCCTCGCAACGCTAAAGATTGATTACATCATCGAGGCATGTCCTCACAACGCTACAGATTGATTACTTCATCGAGGCTTGCCCTCACAACGCTAC